AATGAGTGTCCGGCATGCGGAGAGACCCCACATGACTCGAAACATCTCTTCGCATGCCCGGAAAACCCGACAACCCTAACGGTTTTGTCCTTGTGGACCAACCCAACAGAAGCTGCACGCTTCCTAGGCATGCCGTTAGTGGAACTTGACGACAACGACTGAGATACCAACCGATCTGGGCGGGGTTGTTGTAGCCGCTACAACAACAACAACAACAACAGAGGCCCTCCCTATAGTGTCTCGGTTGGCAACAGAGATATCTGGCAGCCCTACGCTAATGGTCCCCTAGGTATAGTGCAGGGATGGAAATATTTTTTGCACTTAAAGCAGTCAAAGAGCCAGCAAGCGCTACGCAAGATGTAAATCAGTTTTAGGGTAAAGGGGGTGTAAAAAATATATTAAAAAATCATCATATATATTAGTCGGAGTACAAAAAATTGTATTACGCTCTTCTTCCTCCTTCATGCCGGCTCTTGATGTTACCCCTCATCTAGCACCTAAATGTGCCAAGCCAGCTCCTAAGTGCAAAAGGATCCTGGGAGCCACTTTGATCCTGGGAGCCACTTTGAGTAATGGTTTAAAGGTATATGGACCATAATTGGCAAGGGCGAATACCGCAGAAGATAAGCTTATAAACTAGGTATCTTAGGTATCTTTTTATGCGGTTTTTTTTTTAATGCGTATTTGAATTTATGCGGTTTTTCAAACCATTTTTGTAGCTGTAGCGATTTTGCTTTTTTGAGAGTTGTTGTGCCTTTTTTCAGTGTGTAAGAGACAATGCTTCTGACAAATAATTTGTATTTGTATTTTTACATAATTCATGTATTTATTGTGGTATTTTTTTTGTTAAAATACAGATACAACTTTATCTATTTAATTAATGTTCAGTTTTACATGGAATAATAAGTGTTGAAGTGAAGAAATAAATTGTTTTTTTTTTAGAATTTTTAGAATTTTTTACTCGGAGTATCTGAATTTATGCGATTGTTGGAAATGCTGTAACGCATCCCCTGTTTTTGTATGAAAGTAAAGAAGTTTTTTATGCGGATTTTTTTATGCGTCTTTCTGAGGAACGCATGTACCGCATAAAAAGAGACCTAAGTGTACATGGCATTGCATCGAAAAGAGAAGCATGTGAGGACTACTTACCACCACTGTAAAGATGCGGTAGACGGTATCGGCGGTTAGATTTTTCATTAATTCCTCGTCTTTAACAACTAACGGCGAATCCAGTCCTGCTGTCCATGTGCCAATCGATTTGGTGTTGACGGAATTGCCTCCTCGGATTTGAAGTACATTAATGTCCATTTCAAACTTCATGTAACTATAACCATTAAATGGTTTCCCTGGTTGTGTTACTAACTCGAACATACCATAAGAAGTCGGTTCTTGAATCTACATATAAAAAAGTCAACACTAATTGAAAAAAGGTTGGTGGCATAGTGTTTGATGGTTCAGTTTCAAAAATGTCCTACAAGATTTCGTAAGACTTAGAGGTATTTTCATAACTGTTATTTTGAGACTGGAATTTAAATGTCTTTTCATTATAATTATTAGCGAGATAATTTTTTTTAAGTTATCAAAGACGTTTTGAGATTGAAATTATAAGTCTTGAAAGACTTTTATTGGAGGCTTAGGGCCAAACCCACAGTGCGTAGTTAACCACTGGCAAGGGTTTAAATATCGATTTTCATATTCCCAGTGTTTCTTTTAACAGGAGTTCAAACCCGCATGTCCCTATGCTTAACCTCTTGTTAAATTTATGTATTTTTTTATGGAAGGAAAATCAAATTTTTACATATAGAAAAATAATGATTTTTCGAAGTTGTATAATTTCAGTCCTTATAAATTTCCACAGTTAACTATGCGACCGTGAATTTGAATTCATAGGTGAACTCTTGGTAGCGATTAAGTTAATAATAGCTTAACTACGCACTGTGAATGCGGCCTTTAAATTATAAAAGTTTTTTTCACAATAATTATGGATGAGAAACATTTTGTTAAGTAATCTACCATTTTTTGCTTTGCATTTCATAATTTTACATATTAAGTATAACTCCATCATATTTTAGATTTTTTCATCGTTTTCACAATTTTCAAATTGTACATACAGTGCCGAACAAAAGTATTGGCACAGTGAATTTTTTGGAATATATGAAAAGTTCTTTATTCTAATTTATTTCCGATAATTTTTTTATAAAAATATTGTTCATTCTACACCAGAAAACATAATAATAAAATCTCTAAACTTTGTGCAAAACTCAGGAAAATTTATTAAATTTGCACACTAATTTGCAACTTTTTATTCAGATCTTTTAGAAAAATTCTAGGTATGCAGTTGTATAACCCATTCAAATTTAGTATAACAATGTGCAAGTTTGAAGTCGCTAGAAAATCGCATTGATTTTTGGTAGTTTTTTTCGCGCAAGTTCTTCCATACAAAGTAATTCGACAATTATTTTTTGTATGGAGAAAATGAGCAACACCTTCCACTAAAAAAATTGCCAAAAACGCGATTTTCTAGCAACTTTAAACTTGCACTTTGTTATACTAAATTTGAATGGGCTATAAAACTGCATACTTAGAATTTTTCTAAAAAATCTGAATAAAAAGTTGCAAATTAGTGTGCAAATTTAATAAATTTTCCTGAGTTTTGCACAAAGTTTAGGGATTTTATTATTATGTTTTCTGGTGTAGAATGAACAATATTTTTATAAAAAATTATCGGAAATAAATTAGGATAAAGAACTTTTCATATATTCCGAAAAATTCACTGTGCCAAACTTCTGTTCGGCACTGTATATTGGGTCGAAATTAGGGCATTTGACGCCGTTTTTCTAAACCGGTTTCCACCGGTTTTTTTTTGATATCTATAGACGGTTTTTCTGAAATCTTGATACAAATCATGCAATCATACAAATCTTGACCTCTCAATAAAAGTTTTGACTTTTCTAAGTTCTCAAGGCCTTTTACAGTTTAAGAGAGACCGCTAAATAGTTTTAAAATTATATCATAGGTTATTTGGGGATTAACAGTATATCATTTTTGATTCCAATAAATGAATGTTTGCCGCTTAAACGAGCTGAGCTTCTGCTCGAATTCGTGCTCTACTTTTTGATGTTGTGACACAAATGGAGAGATCTTCCGTTTTGCCCCACCTCCAAAAATGTTTTTTTTTTTTATGGCAGAAGTATGTACACTCGGAGGTGTGCAATTTTCTGTCGAGGGTCGGCCGCTATTTGAAAACCCTTTTTTTTTGAAGTTGGTGGGCCCTAATATTTAAGCCGAAATAAGTCAGAAAAATGCAATAAAATATTAAAAAAAAAGGTCAAGTAAGACCAAAGGTGAATTTTTCACTGATTTATGTATATTTGATCTAAAAACTGAACTTATTTTGCTTTGATCTTTTCTAAATAAAAGCTAGCTTTATTGTTAATAGTTCTATTGTAATTTTTAGTCAGACTTCATTATTAGACTTCATTCCAACATAACTGAAAACTGTGTAAAAGAAAACCGGTTTATACGAATCCGAGGTCTGTTAGCCTCCATAACGCCAGGTGTGAGGTCATTTCAAGGTCTAGTAGGAAAAAATTAATTGAATAAACCTGAAAATTCAATACAATTCTTCTGAATTTGACTTTGAGATGACCTTGGTATGACCTCATTTGGATTCAGCGACAACAAAAACCTATGTATATGAATTTTTATTTCTAGTGAATGCATTTTTCTCCTATTTGAACCTCAATAATTCTCCTTTCTGTGTTGTCGGAAGAGGGGTGTGGAAGTATTTTTGCGCACAACTTCTTTTTGCGTAGGTACCCTGCAGCCGCGCTTAGGGATGACAACCCTTATCCATATGCACACTTTCGTTAGAAAACCGAAATAATAGAATGGCTCTTCGACCACGCGGTCGCTGTTATTCGCAATTTGTCTAATTTCAAAACAAACTGTGCAAATAATATTTTACAGCAACCGTATTTTTCTTTGTAAAACTAATTAAATAAATAAGCTAATAAATAAACTGTTAAACTGCGTAATAAAAATTCCTTTCCTATAAAAACTATGTTTCTCTTACATGTATCATTGGCTACACTATACAAATATTTCAATGCGAGTGACTGAATTTCATTTTGTTCTGCTCCACTCACGTTTGAGAAAAAGTTGAGAATTCAACATTTCTCAATTTGAAAATAAGGGAAAATTCCATATTAAAAAAGTGCCGTTTAGTTTGAGAACGCTATCAGTGGTTATTTGAGCCGCATTTGAGAACTAACGCAAACGTCAAGCTGTGAAGCTGTGTTTTTCTGTGATCTGTTTAAATTTTGTGGCTTATAAAGCTGTTTACGCTTATTAAGGTAAAAAATTAAAAAAAGTGTTAATAAACTTCTGGTGCACAATTTAAAGATAAGTAAAACATCAAAATTTCCTGTAAATTTGATTAATTTAACTTGATATTCTTAATTGCATGTGCCGAGTATTTTGTTTCATATAATATATTGTTGTTGTACAATTGTTTTTGTTTGTGCACATTGATTTTGCTCTTTTTGTCATTTCTGCTGTTTCATCTTTGTCACAGCTGTTTGCGTTGTGTTTATTAGGTGTCAAATATACAGTGCATTTAAAACTGTTCGCTACATAGCTTTTCAACTGATATTTACCAGCTGATTGGTGCACTGATTAATACATCGTTTTCAAAGCTGTTTTTGCTTTTTTTTGCTTCTAAAACCTAAAGATAAATATAATTTTAAACATGTCGTGTATTTACACCAATTGCAACGTTAAAAGCGACTCTTATGTGTCATGCTGGCTCTGCGATGGGATTGCCCATATAAAATGTGCTGATTTGAGCGGTAGAGTATTAGACGCTATTAACGAGGGTAAGGGTCCTCGTTAGTCTTGTCAAAAATGTAGATCAACCGAAGTTGATTTATTTAAATTCTTTAGGCAGTCCAGAAATGGGTTTTCTTAGATCGGGAAGGATCTGTCGGTGCTTGTTGAGAAATTTAAGCATTACGAAAAAATATTTAGGTCTTTCACTTGTCTCGACAACCCTGCGCACTCTGAGGATAGCCGAGAAAACAAAGGTGGGCGTGTTATTAGTCCACCTGAGAAGACAGCCACGGATTGTAGTAAAAAAATCCTCCATCCCAGTGCTTGGAACTTATTAATTTATCTTCTCCATGCCCTCAGGCATTGGAGCCTCCGATATCTAAAGCCATATCCACTAGGTCTACTTCTAAAAATAATCAAACCGTTGATTTAACAGTGTTGCTATCAACATCTCAAGCTCCACTGTCTAAATTAGTTCCTCCGAATAATTCGGAGCCCCGCACATCAGACATCATTAACAAAAAGTTGGTTGTAATTCCTCCGAGAAGATCAATCTTTGTCTCTAGATTTGCTAAAGATACTTCTTCGGATGATATAAAGTCATACATATCGACTAAAATTAGAACTAAAGATGTATTTATTCGTAAATTTAATTTTAAATACGATCGCGATATTTCATCTTTTAAAATTGATGTAGCTTCCGAAGATTTTGATTCACTACTAAATAGTTTTTAGTTTTTTGTGGTGTCGAGTAGTGGAAACAGGAGTTTGTTAAGTGTCGAGATCTAAAACTATTCAGCTACAGAATCAAATTCATCAGCTGATTGGATATGCTAAAGATAGTATTTCAATTATTGAGAGTGGAAATAATAGTTTTCTTTATAGTAAAAATCGTGTCCGATACGTCAAACGTGCTGGAATGACAGTTAAAATCCTGACATAAACCACGGAATGATTCGTTTAGTTCAAAATTAGTTTTGCATGGCTTTAAAAATAGAGGTCGAAAGTGTCTTGACACTCGAGAAGGAACATTAAAATTTACCTCAGCCAGGAGGGCCGGGCTAT